GAAAGTTGCTCGTTTTGATTGTCCTGTCAGCTTGAGATAAATGGGAGTCTCTCCAGCTTCAGCTATTTGTAGTTGACATGCTAACTCTGACACAACCTCTAATGATATCATCGGGGATTTGACAAAGCTTCCCCCAGAGCCCCAGATGAGATTAGAACAGTTTTCACAGGCTGACTAATACTTTCCGTAAAGAGTGAACCGAAATTCACGGATACAGTTTTAAATTACAATTTGTCAAGTTGATGCCTTGCTTGTTGCTAAAAATGACTCGACTGAGCAGAGTAGCTGCCGCCGTTTTGATGTTGTAACGATTTGGTTAAGCTCCTAACACTGGATCCGAAGTGTCTCATGAGCAACCCTATTAAAAACCATTAAAGACAACGTCAGATTTTTTATTCCAGCAGGATGTTCTCACCACATCGGCATCGTATGACAGCGTTCATTACCGCCTGAGCTATAAGTAATTACCATGAATCACCATAAAAGGACGAACAGCTGTAGCCCTCCCATTTGCTTGAGGTTGAATTCAGCTCGCTGAAACGTGCAGATTTGCAAAACTTTATGATTTTTTTGTGTGTCTGGGCTTGTGTTCTCGCCCAGCGGCCCAGGCAACGCGGATTCTGTTGATGCAGGTGACTTACAGAACCCCCCGAGGAGGCGATAGTACCAGATAGGTAGAGGGGATAGAAGGGATAGAGGGTAGAGCGGTGGAAGCTCCGAAGGGATAGGGGAGGTGAGGAAGAGGAGGAGGGAATGAGTCACCGATATCATAGCACTCATATGTCACTGAGTCAACAGAGCAGGCAAACAGCAGAGCTCCCACCGTAGAAACGTATGCACATGTATGGAGCGATGTTGGAGGTTATAGCTTATCGTGCACGAATCGCCATTCCCGTCTTCTCCACTCGTCATAATATTTACTGGCACGCCGGTTACCTAAAAGAGAGTGTCGTGCGACATCTCAGTGGTGAACTCGTGAGCTAATAAAACTGTCAATTATTTCTGGTGGAAACCTTCATCCAAGCTAGCGGCGGTGTAAACATTTCAGGGCGAGACAGCGATTAAATTCTGGGCCGGGAGACGGAGTGGCGCTCGAAGGATCTGACCCCGGAGGAGCTCCGAACAGGCCTGTTTACAGTAAACCCGCGAGCTGCTTATACTCTGTCTGGACAAGATAGGATTCACGTACGCGAGGAAAGGTCGAGAACACGCCGCGTACGCGATCCCCGTTGACAGATAAAGTGTGCGGCGGCTGTGGAGAACGCAGAGATGAATCATTATTAGCTGCGGAAAGTTTAACCGAGGCGGTTTAACATGAAGTCACAGTGATTTATGTTACATAGTAGTAAAATAAATTAGCACAAGCGATATTGCAAGTCCCAAAGCAGGGGAGGTTGTCTCAGACTATTTTACGTTTTAAAAGTTGTGCACATTGAACCGTGCGCTGGTAATTGCACATTTTCTTGACCTAAACTGCACTTTTGAGTGGCGTTTAAGCAGGCCAAGTAAATCTCAACACGGGAAAGTGTGTTTAATCAGCCTCTTCAGACCGGCTACAGCACAGAACTGTATGCAAAGTCGTTAAAACGTACACACTGACGGTTATTTTGAGAAGATGACTCCCACCTTTGGATTGAGGGTTTTGAGAACCTTTTTCTTGTGTTGGAAATCTATTTGGTGTGTTTATTTTTTTCTAAATTTGCTAATTCTTATCATGGCAAATTTGCAACTTATTAGTCACAGCAATGAATATTCCAATTTTTCCAATTATCCACTTTGGGGGTAGATTTAGAGACTTTACTAGCTTTTTTGTTTCCTTAAGAATTTTAAAATAGAGGGTTTCGATTCCTATAGCTGTTGGCACCTTTATATTCCTCTGTATGCTGTCAGTGAGATGTGGCTGACTTCACATGCACAGCTCCGTTCAGATGATAAATCCAAGGCTTAACAGCATGTGAGAGCAAAGCGCGAAAAAATAGACGGACGTACTAATACTTACAACAAAGCCCGTCTCCACAAAGTGGTTATGATATTTCAAAGGAGGATGAAAAAAACAGCTGAGCTCCTTAAAAAAAAAAAAGAAAACAGCCCCACAAGACTGAAGATGTTTTGGAGGTTAAAGCCGCTCACATAAAAGAACTGATTTGTGCTTTGTGTTTTAGCGCCTTTAGAGATAAAAGCTTCATCTCAGATATCAAAAGAGTTTTTATTCATGGATATACATAAGTAGGCGGGGATCTTTATGCTTTAGCTAGCCCTTAGAATTGACCATCTGGCAAGTCGTGGTCCTTCATCATATTGATGTAAGACATAAAAATGCCAAAATCCAATATGGCTCCGAGTCAGCCTTGTGTGCTGATTTGCAGCATTGCCCAGAATGAACCCCGCATCCTCTGATGTAATAATGTTTTTTCCAATGTGACTTAAAGGCCCCATTTTCAGACAACTGACGTCCTCACAAGAGAGCGATTTGACCAAAAAAGTATCCTCACAGTGAACGCATCAAGCCGATAACAGACACAGTGGATGCTCCATTTCTTATACTGCAGCCTTCAAATACTTCAGGGAAGCTTTGAAAAGGAGAGTCAGATATGAAGCAAATGGCAGCCCTGAGGATTTCCTTAAAGCTTTTCTGGGTTCGCTTTCTTCTATTGTGTTGTGCAAATCGATTTTGACGTATAAAATGTAAGACCGAAAAATTCTGCAAAAAACGTGCCAACAAACCCATCGTTAGTTCAATAGTCATTCGGTTTATACAACCAGAAGAAATGTGGGTCAGTGCATTTACATAAAAAGACATCCTTTCTGTTTAACTCTTTAACCATCAACATCTTTCACTAATTAGGCTCAGTCATAGGATAAAATAGAGGAAGTGCACTTACCTAAACTAGCTCTAAAATTAAGTTTAGGTAAGTAATGCCTGAATAAGCATGAGCTACGGCATTCTTCTTTTATAATTTCTCACTTTTACCCTAAAGAGTCACTCCAACTATTTGTAAAATATTATTCATTCTGGTTGTTTGATGAAAAAATATAAAGAAACCTTTTCCCTTCCAAAGCCGTTGAAGCACTTGATAAGGACATCTGACAGTCTTTGAAGACCTTGGAAGTCCTTTTTGAGTCAGTTCTGTAAAGAAAGTGTATTGAACTGGAAGACGATGAGCAGCTATTCCTACTAAAAACTTGGGACGCAGCTCATTTTGAATTGATATATCACTCAAAAGTTTAAACAGAGGCAACACGGGTCTGGAAAAGTGAAGGATTTTAGAAATGGGTCATACAGTTTGTTCTTAGAAATCAGTCTAAAAGCCTTGATTGTTAGTATAAGCTTCTACATCTGGATAGGTACCATGAATTCTTAAAGGCATATACAGGCTTCAGATAACTATAAATGAAAGCCTTTCTTATTTCAGCAAGACCAGGTTCAATTGCATGCTGCATCCTGTACAACAACACAGTCTTCCTATTTCAGTGGAAAGTATCTGACGTATCCCAAAAACATAAAATACTACAATTCAGATAATGAACTGTCGTGGACTCAAAACAATTTCTGTCAAGAATGGAACGCGTAAACTCCCAAATGTCCAGCAACTGGTCTCCTCAGTTCCCGGACCCAGCCTGACTGTTGTTAGACTAAAAGCAGATGCTCCATAGTGGTAGAAATGGCCCTCTGACATCAGTTTGGGTTGCGGATATTTTAAACCCATCTCCCTGATCCAGTCCGGTGAGAGTTGACTCCGCTGATGAGCGAGCACAGGTGTAAATATTTATATATTCTAATCATCAGTCTAAAAGCAGTAAAATGTCAATGTATATTTAACTCTTTCAAAAAGAAAAAAAAACAGTTGAAGAGACTAACTGGCTGTTACCACGTGGCTTATTTCCTTTTCAAATATTGCATCATAAAGCCTTGGTTTTTTGTTTTGATTGTGTTCTTTTCTTTGCGAGATAAATTGGACTCCTTTAGACTCTGCTAATTGAGGCTATCTCTCGCACAGCCAGCCGTTATGTCCGATGCGCTTAGATTTTTGGGAAGGCTGATGGACAATTTCCACAACGAGAAAAAGTGAGGGTGATGCCCGCGCTCCGGTTGAGTCGGATCCAATTACGAGGGATCCATTGATTCCGTTTGTCCGCGCGTCAGTTGTTTAAAGGCCTCGTGCCATCGGGGACGCAACGAGATGGGCCATTAACACGTTGAAAAGAGAGACAGTGTTGAAAAGGGTTTATTTTTGTGGAGAACAACGAAGAGTCTGATCCGATGCACAAAGGGCAGTCTGGCAGCTATGAACGACCCATTTCAACCCCCCCCCCTTCTAGATATTGCAGACGACAGTGTGTTTGGCCCTCGGGATCACATGGTGGTGTCTCGCGCAGAGCCCCGTTTTCAGAGACGGCAAACACTGAATAATCCTTAATAGTCTCTGTCAGAAAAGGGCAACGCTGAAGTGCGAGACACTCTTACACAGACGTCTTCTTCTCCTTTTTTTCATGCGTACAACTAGAACCCCTCGTCATTCGTGTGAAATGGTAAAATGGGCTGTCTTGGTCTTGCCTTGCCTCAGATAAGCAAAAGTCTCCAAAAACTGTCACTTTACTAATTGATTATTGATAATTTCTTACATTTTAAGCAGTAGAAACGAATCACGTTGGGTTCCTGATCCGGAATGTTAACCCTTTAAAGCCTGATCCAAGAAGAAAACAAATCAGAAAATCACTTTTTTTTGTTTGAATTCCTTATTTGGTCTTTTAACAAAATATGTAAAAAGAAAAAAAAATGTTGTGTAGTCTTCTGCCCCCTGTTATCAGGTGTATCTGATTGTGTGCAATATGATTTGGAGCAAAGTTTTTAACAGTAAATTATGCAAAAGGTGTCAGACGCAAAACACTTCAGAAACCGTATGTATCAAACATGATACATGTGGCATTATAGAGTTAACGGCATTGTTTCTTTCACTTCTCAGGAGGACTACGACCGGCTAAGGCCTTTGTCGTACCCGATGACCGATGTCTTCCTAATCTGCTTCTCCGTGGTCAACCCGGCCAGTTTCCAGAACGTGCGTGAGGAGTGGGTGCCTGAATTGCAGGAGTATGCGCCCAGTGTGCCCTATCTTCTCATCGGCACCCAGGTTAGTTTATGGACATCCCTTCCAAAAAGAAATGTAATCCTTAAGTCAAAAGTATTCATGGGCGGCTGCAGCTCAGCAGGGAGCGGTCACCTTTCGAGTAGAAGTCATCGCTTTGACTCCTGGCTTCACCTAGCTATCTGTCGCAGACACAGAACTCCCACGTTGCTGACTGGTGTATTTACTGGTGAATGAGTGTATGCATGAATATGGCTGATTTAAGGACAGTCTATGTCCCATTTTCCGGACCAATCGAGAAGGTGCTGTGTTTAAGGCCCAGCTTGTAGCTCACTGTAGTTCATGGAGTTGTGAATGTTATCTATGGATGAAATGACTGTTTTGATTTGAGTAAAGTAAACCTGTTTAGTTTTTTTATTGACTTGGATATTCTGATCTATGGACCTTTAGTTGCTTAGTTTGTCTTGATATATTGTCTATATATATTGGATCTTGGTCATTTTAACTTTTTCTTTTTCTGGCCCCAGGGGACTCAAACTGAGAACCCTCTTGCTTTGAGGTGATGGTGCTAACCAGCCCTCCTTTTTACCTTACCTTTACCTTAAACATTGCCCATAAACTGGTTTATCATTTCAGTCAGCTTTTTAAAATCAGTTTTTTACATTAGAAACCACTACCTTAAACTACAGTAATTTGACAAATTGTAAGACATGGAGTCAAAAGAGTCAAGTCACAGACTTTGCTGCAAAGCCAAAAAGCATCAAGCTGAAAGGTGTTCCTGCGTTTAGTAACGTGATCATTTCTCCATGGATTGAGCAATACATTTTCAAATTTTCACATTTTTGTTGATAGAAAAATAAAAAGTGGGACAGTCGGTCCAAACGTGGGTGGGAACCTCGGGCCGATCCACCTCAGACTGCTGCAAAAGCTGAAATTCCCGTCTTTACAGATGAAATCAGAACCTCCAAAGCACCAATGAACTTTTCCATGAAGCTGCACTAGATTTATGTTTTTAACTGATACCAACATACATTTGTAGTATTGTCTTCATTAGTTTAATCCTAAAATTCACTACGGATTCCAATTGCCCTTTGAAAACTCTTTGCAGACATGTGGGCGATTTATGGGGGTTTTTTTGGCCTGTGTTCCCTAGCAACCAAATGCCAGTGCAGCCAAGGCCCAGCGGTGATGAGGAGGATGGAGTGGGTGTCTGATTTATCTCGCGTCAGCTGATGTTTTCTGCTCTTTTATCAGTTCCTGTCATAACTCACTTGCTGCTCAGTGGCTGGATGCAGATATGTTGCACACAAGCTTTGAAACAGCATGTCATAAATAAGGAAATGGTCTAATGAGGGTGGCTGCTCATGGATGCTTTCGCTTTGCCTGGTTATTATCACTGGTGTAGAGGTTTTCTGAGAATTGTGAAGAATATGGCCCGAGGAGCCTTCTGTAGGAAATGTGGGTCGGCGGAGATTTGTTTAAAAAAAAAAACTAAAACAAAATGCATTTCAGTTCAAGTGTGTGATGAAGCGAGTAATTCTTAAAGTGGATGATTTGGTGTAGACAATTTAAACAATTTAACCAGGAGGTTAAGAGGCAGCCTCGCCTTTTTTTCAGATCGATCTTCGAGATGACCCCAAGACCATCGCCAAATTGAACGACATGAAGGAGAAGCCCATCACCACCGAGCAAGGCCAGAAACTGGCAAAGGAGGTTTGTACGGTGAATAGAGTAACATATGCGGCCGGTGTGTGTGTGGGAAGCATCTGTTTTCATACTTTTTATTCAAACAGAGTTGTTGGACCCAGCGTGGTTCCTGTGAGTTGATTCGACCCAGGAATGCTTCCGTATGAATGTTATGTCTTCGGGGAAACGCTTGGAATAACACCTGAGAGCAATATCCGCCTTGAAATGAGTAAAAAAAAAGCTGAATTCCCAGTCGACGCTGATGTCCAGCTCATTTTTGGGGCTGGGAGCAATATCTAATGTGGACTGCGGTTAATTTCTCCTGTCAGGCAAAGAGAAGGAATGAAAAAAATCCCATTGTGCATGAATTTAAAAGTTGACATTCCTTTTGGCTGTCAGACCAAATCCAGATGGAATTAGAACTGTTTTTTTGGTGGACATTATATCATGGAGTAACCAGAGATGGCTTTCTTTAAAACACAGTTTTATTTTGAAGAACAAGGACAGTCTCGGCTTCTAAAAGTGATTTGCAGAATTCTACACCACTTTTTTAAAAAACACTTTCAAAGAAATGATTGGGCTGGTTTCATTGTGTAATATGACAAGTGAATCTAGTGGCTGTTGCTCTAGACTCTTATCGTCCGTCCATTCCCTTAACAAGAGTGTGAGATAGGATTAGGGAAATTGTGCTCAAAACTCTGCTCGAATGTTTATCCAGAACCCAACAACTGAAGTGAACGACAAGTGAACTAAAGCTCAATTGGACACAGAAAGTTTATGTTAAAGCTCATCAGCACATCGGTGGGAATTCAATAATGTCCCTGGCTGCTCTATCCAGACAAACCCTTTGAGTGTCAAAGCCCTCAAAATGGTCTGTAATGTGTAGTTACTTGAAATAGGGGATTAGGATTACAGCAGGTTGGAGTGTGATGTATTTATGCATTAGAATGGTTATGACTTTTTTTGTGTACTTAATCGTATTTGGAGCAAATTCAAGCAAATGTTATTTAATCCTAGGTTCATTCTAAACAAAATTTTGGGCAAATTATATATTCACATCTTTGAATACTTTTCGACCATTTATGGCCTTGAACTTTTGCAGCTTTTTTATAGAAACACACTATAAGAAATCCATAAAGTGGGATTTGGGTCAGGCTTATCGTTACACTTCTATGCTTGTGCAAGTATAGGAAGTGAAAGTCGTAAGGTTGTGTCTGATTGGCTGTCCCGTCTTTCCCATCAGATTGGTGCGTGTTGCTATGTGGAGTGTTCGGCACTGACCCAAAAGGGCCTGAAGACAGTGTTTGACGAGGCCATCATCGCTATCTTGGCTCCAAAGAGAAAGAAGGGATCTCTGAAGAGAAGAATGGGACCCCGCTGTATCAACTGCTGCCTCATCACGTGATACATGAACCCCGTGATCATTGAGCTACAACCACAAACCAAACCTGGACTGAAGGCAGACGTCTGGCAAAGAGAAAAGTGCTCGGACAACTAGACCGCGGAGTGAAGAGGACAATGCAAGAGCTCATTTTAAGCTGCAGGGTTCTTGAAAGGCCACAACTCTCCTGCTGTCCAACGCTGGAGTTGAGGATCCAGTTTTCTACCAAAGGAGCACAAAGCCCTGTCATTCTTTTCTTCTACAAACTTTTGCCTCAAATGTACCTTATTTTATAACCATTTTTAATATTTTTTTTCTCTTTTCTGTATAATGTTGCTAAATGCTGTCATGCAAAAAACAAACAAACACAAAAGACATTTCAAGTTTTTAAAAAACAAACAAAATTATAGGGATTATTTAAATGGTTTCTTAATGCTTGTCGATTTGTTCATTTACAATATCAGATTTAAAATCAAAAGAGTGAGCAGCACTCTAAATATACTTGCATTTTTGGACTTAAGGGCCCAGTAAACTTTGTTCTTTCATGTTTTCATGGCTTCTTGGCCCACTAAGTCTGCCTTTAGTAATTCATCATTTACGGACCTGGGGATGAAACCACAAATCTTCACCATATGTGGTTCTACAAAACAATTCAACAACTGTGTATATCCATTTAAATGACAGATTAAGGACCTACAACTGTATTATACTCAAGCTTGAGTATTGAGTAAGATTGAGTTTTTTTTCACCTTATAAAGAGGTTAGTTGTTTTATAGTGTGGCATGATAAAATAAGATGGAGTCAAGAAAGAGAAGAGGTCATTGTTCATTTTTTAGAATCTATAATATCCACAGTTTATGAGTCTGTATCACTGAAATGAAGATGCAGTCCATGCAAATCATATATTATCATCTTATAACTTCATTCATTTTATTTTTGTTATCCTGCAATAACATGTTATCCTTTTATCACCTTTGAAAAGGTTTTGAAGAGAGAATATGGATGTCATTTTAGAAATGAAATTCTGATTCATATTCTGAATTACAAATGCCCAAAGAACAAAATGCACACTTTCATCCAAATCAGGTTGTCAAGATGACCCAATACTGTATCTGCAATGCACATCACGAAGCACAGTTGGTGGCGCCTCATTTCCTAGCTCAACAAAGCACATTCCCCATGTTGTAAAGCACTCTCCCAGTCCATGAAATGGTCAACCGAAGCACAGAAAATGCACATTGTTCCATAAGGCACAACAAGAACAGCACATTATTTCAGCAGAGTTCTTCGCAATTTACACGACCCTACCAGTACCTTCCAAATGTCCTCATTTTTGTTTAAGAAAAGACACTAATCCAAACTGATTTTTGGTTTTGAAAAATGGGCTGGTTGCACCAGCAGCTAAGTTTGATCCAGACAAAAAAACAAAAGTACACACCACCATACACAGTTTCATAACAGGCTTCAGGTTAATAAGGACACGTATGCTAATCACCATTTTCACCCATCAGTGGCCTTTAGCTGTTATACAGTGCTAGCTTGCTAAAACAAGTCTCAAAGCTAATGTAAGCTTGTAGACTCCTCATAACTGCCCTCACACTGATTAAACTGCTGTTGAATAATTAAGTCATTGAGGATATTTTAGATTGTACTTTCCAAAAACCAAACAGAATACAACAGCACATGAAAAACATGAGGAATAACTAAGGTCAAATCAGAAAGTGTTCAAATTTAGATTAGCATAGGCTAATCACTAAGACCTACGCCCCCTTCCAAAACTTGACTTATTTTAACAAAAAATGTTACAGCCTTTGAGCTTTAATCTGACTGACAATATACAGTATATATATATATATATATATATTTTAATTTTACTCTATAAAAAGTCATTCATTTTTGTAAGAAAGTCACATTTTAGAACAGTTTAAAAAGATGCTGAAATAATATGAATAGTTTACCAGGATTTAGAGAGTATCCTAATAATCTATGACCCTCCTAAGTGTATACAAAGTTTTCAAGCAGACATGTTTATCGTAGGTGCAATAGGTGAAAACTTGAGGTTGTGACTTTGCGGTCCTTGCTGGCCAAACATCAACGACATCAGTTCTTGATTTTTATGCAATTTTATTTGCTTTTTCTAACTTTTTGGAAAACATTTTAAACAAAGGTGCCAACTCTCGCCATGGATTTGTTAGATGTGACTCATTGAAGCTTTAATGTAAAAGGTGCTCCTGCTCTCTTTCCCAGCCTGTGTGTTAACTGTCGTTTGAGCAGCGGAGACGACTGCGGGTGAACGGCTTCGTCTCTCGGACAGTTTTGCTTACTTTATGTCGTGTGAAGGTCCACCCCTCAGGATCCAGGACCTAAGTGCCACAGCCATCAATGCATTCTGCCAGTGATGCTTCTCTTCTCAATAAATATGTTTACTGTGTCAATAAGCTGGCTTGTGGGGTTTGACTTGGAAAATGTCAGAACATTTGTGACACAACATCATTGGAATCGCATGATAATTAGGTTAGCCGGATTATATTGTGAGACATCTGAATGAAAATATGTCTTAAATGTTCATAAATTTATGCTTTGTTCATTTCACTTCCTGTAACTTCAAAATGAACGCTTTTTCAAATGTTTTTTTCTGTCCAGTTAGTGAGTTGTGTTGGTATCTGGAGCTTGAGCGCCCCTTGCTGGGTGCAGTTTGAATATAACTTTTTATTATCTCTGCAATGGCACGCCTTGCACGAAAACTGCAGCTTTGCTTCGCCAACGTTCAGCCGGCTCAAGCCAAAGGAGATTCTCTGCATTAGTGTTGGAGAGTTCTGGTAAAAGTCAGTACAGCTGACACACACAAAGATGTTGGTATGCTGCTTTATGTTTTAACAGCCTCATCACCACTTAAGGTTTATGTCCGGGCTAATTTAACTAATGTGGCAATGATTTTGAAGGAACTAATTAAAAATGTTATCCATATCTATAAATCAGATTTTGTTAAGACAGATTTTTTGCTTCCATGACTATTAGTTGTGCCTCAAAATATGGATTTTTCTAAAATTTCCCACAGTCTTGTAATGGTCCTGATCACAAGCCAAGAAGATAAGAAGGGGCGCAGATATAAAACAAATAGCAGATGTACTTATTTTAAAGCAATATCAATCCATTCACCACACCAGCTTATTCCAATTCACGGTTGTGAGGAGGTTACTGGTCAGCAGGCTACTGGGCAGCATGCAGGTAACACCCTGGACACATCTTAAAACAATGTAACAATGCAAAATCAACAAAGAAATTAACATGGAGGTGGGTGAGTGAACATTATTGTGATTCTTATTCTGTGTGGCATAAAAACATATAGAGGACGGAAACCTGATGGGGATGTGGGAATAAAAAAAAACTGGGAAATTGAAAACAAATCTCAACAAACTATCAGATGACAGTATAGTCCATCCAGTTATTTCAGTCTTAGCAACCTGTGCACAATGGATCATATAATAAATACGAAATTAGGGAAAAGGAGAAGAAAAAGTCAGGCATAGAATATGAACATGACAGTTAGTGTAGTGAACCCAGAGAGAGTTTATCCAACATGAGGTCAGTCCTTTTCACATAATGGATGTCTATAAAGGAATGTTCTGAGACCACCAAATTAGCTTGTGGTTCTGGAATTGCAACAGGTCTCATGTGAGTGGATTGTGATTACTGGAGCCCCTACGTATGGCACAACATGATCCCAGTCAAGCCTTCTCTTCAATAACGGTTGCTATAATGTGCAGCTTATACAAAGTTTACACAATTGCTCAAAAGTTCGACACAGGTTCAAAAGTTCCTCGACCTTCTGGGTTTTTAGGGGGACAGGAAAACATAGTTATAGTGGGGAAGTTTTTGAGTTGCTCTGTTTATAGCACAAAGGAAGAGAAAGCTCTTTGGCTTCTTCTCTGTTGTCAGAACTAGGTGTGTTCCCAACCCAGATTTTTGTGCTGACCAAGCCTCATCCACCTTGCCATAGAAAGGTCAATCTTTTTATCATAAAGGTGAACTTTTAAAGTAAGTGTCAGCAAAAAAGAAGGCTAATTTTCTTTAAAAATTCTCCTTTGCATCTGAGTTATGGCACTGAGTGATGGACAGAAAAGGATTTTTGAAGAACATCATAAGAACACAATGAATGGCGATTAAAATTTGTATAATGTTAATGCTTTTGAGATGCCATTTTTTAATCTTTGCCCATGGAATTCCATTTTACTTATTAGTTGTCTGTGTAGTCATTCAAACTTAACACAGTTGTGTGGTGGTGTTTTTGGTCCAAAGTCATATGGAATGTACTTCTACAGAGAATTGAAACTGGGTAATTTTTGGATATGAATAAGGATGACTTTTTTATGCTAACATGACAATTTAGTAAGGCCCAAAAATAATTTTAACAGGGGCAATAATACAGTATCTCAACGAAAAGAGAACAGACCAAGCACAGGAAGCACCAAAATACAATAATAATAGTACAATTACTTTCAAGAAGAAAAACCATTAAGACCAACAGATTCAATTATGGCCTTTGGCCTACCTAAGAGACTGTTTTGGGGTTTTTTTAAGTAGAAGAATAGTCTAAATTTAGGAATGATAATTGTTCATGATGATTATACAAAATGTACGTATCTTCTAGAATTCTGTAACCAGAAGTTTAACTTTTTTTGTCTGCCTTTTTTGTGGGTAGTGTCATCAGAATGAGACAGCATGGTCCCGAAACATTAAAGTGATTTGGCAGGGTGTCCTCAGTCAGAGGTTTCTTCACGCTAACCGATTTAAGGCCTTACGTAGGGGGGGGGGTGTAATATTAAGACATGGCCGGAATTCAGTCTCTGTGGCTCAGAATGTGACTCTTTTTCCCCAAAAAAACTTGTTAAAATGTGTTCTTGTTGTTGATGTGTCCAGCTGACTGATTGTTAACTTTGTATATCAATCAAAACCATAATGCTGTATGTATAAGTACATATGACTTTACAATCAACCATTGTGATACTGAACAGTCCAACAAT